GTAAACAAAGCTTAACAAACACTGTCAAAGCATGGAGGAAGTAACAGACAAGTAAATTTCACTGGCAGTCAGTGACTTAGAATCAACTAGATTTTTTGTGTTGTTTTTGTCACATAAAGGCATACCTACATAAAGCCAAATTCTTGGTTCTTTTGTGCCGGACTTTTGCTACTGTGTCCCTAAAGAAATCAAGAGTTAAACTGACTTAAAGCAATACAGAATTAAGCTTGTGATTTCATACACAGTCTCCAACAATAGCATTTCACTAATACGCACTTTGTATTCTGTTACACAATAAGAAGAACTTACTGCCATTCAGGAGACACATAACATGCAGGTGGATGTGTAATGTGTACATACACGGGTAGCACTTCATGAGATTAACTGCCTTGAGGAAATGCTCTCTCCATGGAAACTTTGCAGGAGAAAACATGTTTTGTCTTGTGTGTAAGCTGGGGAGTAAGTTTGTCAGCCCAGGGCAACAAATTAAAAAGATTGTTTATGCTATCTAACTTGACAGTGTTTGTTACTAGACATTTCTCCTTCTCACCTTTTAATAATGCGGACAGTAACTTTGTGCCTGTAAACGATGACTAATTTGGTCCTGTGAGGCCAAAAAACATTCAAGTGACAAAAAATAAACATTCTAGGAAACAAAGAGTACAACATATTCATGAAAGTGAACATTCATATTAAAGGAGAGAATATCAGACTACTGCTTTTTCAGACAACTTTTTCACTTGCATAACTCTGCAGCTGCTCGTTTACTTTGACAGACCCTGCTGATAAACAACAGCTAAGAATTTGCCCCTAGAATTACTACTTTAAAAGAGATTATTTGCAAGCACAGCTGAGTTGTTTCCTTTCTGCCTATTCTGGTTCATTGCTATGCAAGATATATCACCATGAATTTGATCCTTAGCTTGAAAATTTTGTCATTCATGTACTCTTTGGATACACCATCTAGGTACCTTTAGTATCAAGATTGTCTTGATGTAAAGCTGGAACAACACAGTACTGAATTAGATCCATTTTCTATCACTTAATACAGGCTTTAAATTTGTCCATGGAACCTTTCCACACTAGATTGAGAAGAAGCCTCTTGGCAATCCTGAATTATCATACCGAATTGCTTCCATCCATTTGCTGGGGCTGCCAAATTGAAATGATGCATGTCAAGGCAACCTTACACTGAAAAGTAAAAGATAGCTTCTTAAATGTTCCATTTATAAAGCTTTTTATTCACAGTCAAATTTAGTATCCCTTCTGAAATATATCACTTTACAAAATTGATACCTTGCCATTACAAGATTTCCATGCCATATTCACTCAGCTTAGTAGTAAAAACAAGCTTTTGCTCTTTTCCCTTTGGTACAGCTGATGAAAACTGAGCAGTTCAAGGTCTGCTTCTTAGATCAGCAGCACTAAGTATTCCATAGATCTGTAACCTTCTCCTACAGGGAAGGTTAAAAGTCAGCAAAAAGGCAAACTGTTAGTCCTCTCAGTAAAATATTACCAGTGTATCATATTAAAAAGCAGAAATTGAAGGGGAAAAAAAAAAAAACAACCACTGAACTACCACTAACACTAAGGATACCAAGAGTGATCTGCAAAACAAAAGCATTCATATAGACTTTCTGGAACTCTGCAAGGAATATCACTCAAAGCAAATTAGCAAAAAGAAAAATTACACTGTCACACTGCAGAACTTTAATGCAGTTTTTCCTAATATGTGTCACATATAATTCTAAAATGATAAATTGCATTATTTACTTTCTGTATTATTTCCACTAAATTGCTGTAGCCTAACACTTTTTATTAATCATTGGCAAGTAAACTTCTAAGAAACATATATAGTCTTTTTAATTAACGCCCCATTTTGGCATCTTTACGTCTCAGTTTAGGGCAAAGGAATAACCTAACCAGATATGGGATGCAACCAGTTTCAATTATTTTGGCCCTCTAAGCTGGAAAGTTTCTTTACCTTGAAGTTTGTCAGACTTACTCTTTTGGAGAAGCCGAACATTTCCGCAAAGCCTCATGATCATTTCTCCAATTATATTCTTATTTGCATGTCACTGTTTAGCTGAAGTTCATGGGTTTTTTTCAACTTCTGATTTGCATCAAAAATAGTTTGCTATTGTTTCCTTACACTTTAACTCTCTAAAGCAGCTATACATTACTAGTTAACTATGTCTGATGGAAGAAAGAAATGACATTCTGATCAAGTTGTTTCATTTTTTTTATGGATAACTTGGCACATATCCCAGCCTTGTAGTGATGTTAAACAGAGGAAAGTTTTTTCCTAGGTATAAGGGGGTTTTGCAGTTGCTTGCAGTAGAGGAGAATCTGCATGAGTTGAGTCAAAAGTTCAGTGAGACGTCGCCAGAAGGAACCCTATGCCATGGAATGCCACTTACACCAGTATACCTCCACCTGCGTTTCCAGTTACCAGTTGGAGTTTGCTGTTCATGACTTGTGAAATACTTTCTGTGGCCAACAGCTGATAGAAGCCTTAATCCAGGTAACCAAGGTCTCCTATTCTGGGGCCGCAGAACCAAGTCTTCATCAATCCCTGGGCAAAGTTCATCATTTACTACAGAACCAGGATTTCCCTTTACATTTGCAATGGTCCCAGCCCCACAGTTAAAAAGTGAATTTTGGTCTACCCTCTTAAGTCTTAAAAGACACTCCAAGAACACCACAGTGATATAAAAACCACTTAGCATTCATGATCTTCTATTTCAAGCCTCTTTCTAATAGGGCTGTTAGTGAGTAAACAAGCACATGCTTCTTAGTTTGTGGGGCATTTGTATGGGTTGTTTTCCTTGTGTTAGAAAAGCCACAAATCCTGGCTGTGCCCAGCCACGCTGAATGTACAAGCCTTAAAAAAGTTTACGAAGTTGCACTTGTTACCTCTATTTAAACTGCCGTATGACAAATGGCAAATGCCTGTATATAATTAATTATACCAGCTGGACTTCTACCTCAGTAACTCTTAGCTAAAAGCCTTGCATTATTCTTGTTTAAACATTTACCAGTGAAACCTGTGTACTTTACTGGACACTGAATTATGATCCTTTTCAGAAATTATCCTTTTAAAACAAAAGCTATAATTGAAGCTTAAGAGGAAAATCATGTAATGGGAATGTCCTTCAATCCTCTTAATTAACAGTACTGTGCGTAAATACAAGCTGAGCTACTCATTTCCTCAAGACAATGCCTCTCAAAGTAGTATCTCCTAGAAAATCTTTATATTAAAGTGCTCTGGCTTGTGCCACCTCAGACCACTTCTATCCTGCTGTCTTCCCAATTAGTGCATAGGACACCTGACTTTTTTTATAATTTAATTTTTTTTTTTTTAGATTAACATTTTGAACCTCATGCTTTGCACATGCAGATCTCTACCTCCACACAAAGTCCAGAAGTCTGTTTATAAGAGTCTACAGCTGTCTTTTGCAGTAACAGGTTGAAAGGGGTACAAGACAGGACACACAGACTTCCAAATACACTCTGTCTGAACCTACTGGGCACACCAAGAGAAGAACTAACTGCTTTTCATGAGTATTGCTATCTTTGGTCAAGAACACACTCGGAGTCTTTTGCATTTTTAACCTTAATTGCACAAAACCCACACTCCTGAGTCCAACAGCTCTTGCATTTGGCATAACCATGACATTAACCTGTAGAAATAAAGCATTCTCATTTGAGCTTGGAACTGGCAAATGTTTATGGGCCTTTGACATGCATACTCACATGAGCAGTCCTGTAGATGTGAGGCAGCAAAGTTAGGTACCCACATGAACATATATACAAGCAAGTTCTCTTGTTAGCTGGATTGACGGAATTGCTATTTATTCAGAGTTTATCATAAACAAAAATGTGTAAACTCATACCAGTCACTGAAAAAGTTTCTAGAGACATGCAACATTACTTAAACCTGCCAATATGTTGAACTTTTACTTTCAAATATGTCTTTTTAGATAGTCAAGGCCAAGAGAACCTTCATTTTAGCATCTAATTCAATTTAGTCCATGTTCTGAACTGCATGACGCAGTACAACCCCGTAAGGGCAGTAACCATCCACTGCACGTCGTTCAGCTTGCAGTACTATAGATATACTAGATTCATTTATTCTTACCACTTAGTCTTTCAAACTAACAATATTTCACAACCAGTTTTGTAAAGTGCTACCCAAACTGCATTTTGGTCAACTAAATTGTTTATTTTCCCTTCATAAATAGTTAGGTTACTGCTAACTGTTAAATAGCTTTTGGGCAGATAATTGAGTTTTGCTTTGCAGTGTCTTGAAAAATGAGCTAGTGAGGTTCTTCTGAAGAAACCAAGACACCTCCTCTCCTAAATGACTAAGCAGCACATTTTGAGAAAAAACAATAGAATATATGCAAGAGAGAGCAGTAGATTTTACGGCACCAGAGTGCTTTCCCTGATGAAGATCTGAGAAACGGCAATGGATGACCACACTCTGACCACCTCAAAGCGCCTTTCTCCCCCTCACAGTGTCAGCAGTAAGGGATGAGCACTACAGCCAGAATTCCAACAGAGTTCCTGCATGTGCTGTTTCCCAGTAGCTGTGCCCAGCCTGCTCCTTTTCTCTGATGCTACAAATTGCCCTTTGGGGATATCTGTTTTTTCCATTGACTAGACACAGTGGCTTAAAGTGGAATCCAGGCTGTTTGCTTGTGGCCCTTGAAGCCCAGTCTTCTGAGAGGCCACAGAAGTAAGGGAATATGGCATACGTTCAAGTTCAGAAGCTGA